CTTTCTTTCTTTTTTTTTTTTTGAGACAGAGCCTTGCTCTGTTGCCCAGGCTGAAGGGCAGCGGTGCGATCTCCGCCTCCCGGAGTCAAGCGTTTCTCCTACCTCAGCCTCCTGAGTAACTGGGATCACAGGCACCTGTCCCCACGTCCAGCTGATTTTTGTATTTTTAGTAGAGACAGGGTTTTCTCACGTTGTCCAGGCTAGTGTCAAACTCTTGATTTCAAGGGATCTACCCACCTCGGCCTCCCAAAGTGCTGGGATTACAGGCGTGAGCCATGGCGCCCTGTCAATAATTTTCTTTATGTCCAAATGCTTGAGACACTAACTGCTCCTTTTTTTTTTTTTTTTTTTTTTTTTTGAGACGGAGTTTCGCTCTTGTTACCCAGGCTGGAGTGCAATGGCGCGATCTCGGCTCACCGCAACCTCCGTCTCCTGGGTTCAAGCAATTCTCCTGCCTCAGCCTCCCGAGTAGCTGGGATTACAGGCGTGCGCCACCATGCCCAGCTAATGTTTTGTATTTTTAGTAGAGACGGGGTTTCACCATGTTGACCAGGATGGTCTCGATCTCTTGACCTCGTGATCCACCCGCCTCGGCCTCCCAAAGTGCTGGGATTACAGGCTTGAGCCACCGCGCCCGGCCCTAACTGCTCCTTTTTAAGAATTCGAGCTTGGCTGGGCGCGGTGGCTAACACCTGTAATCCCGGCACTTTGAGAGGCGGCGCGGGCAGATCACGAGGTCAGGAGTTTGAGAGCAACCTGACCGACATGGTGAAACTGTGTCTCTACTAAAAATACAAAATTAGCCAGGCATGGTGACACGTGCCTGTAATCCCAGCTACTCAGGAGGCAGAGGCAGGAGAATCGCCTGAACCCAGGAGGCAGAGTTTGCAGTGATCTAAGATGGCGCCATTGCACTGCAGCCTGGGCAACAGAGCAAGACTGTTTCAAAAAAAAAAAAAAATTAGAACTCTGGCTTCTTCGATTGTGTAGATCAGTGATGGCTCTTGTCTCATTAAATTCATTGTTTTAGATTCCTGTTTGGAGCTGGAATGGTTGATAAATTTATTACAAAATTTTCAGCACAAAGATTTACTTAGGCTCTCTTGCTAATATTCTGTCTGGTCTATTTGTGACAGGGATCCTTACGTCACCAATTTGATTACAAAGGTAAAGCATTTCTCAGATGAGAATTTAATTTCAAGTGCGGTTTTATTGAGTGTTGCACTATCCCTAGCTGTTTGCTTTCTCTAGTTATCTAGTTAAATATTGCCCAAAATATCAATGCGCGTGATCTGGTTAAGCAACTAGATTTTAATTTTTATTGTTTTGAGACAGAGTCTTGCTCTGTTGCCCATTCTGGACTAGTGGCACGAACTCAGCTCACTGCAACCTCCACCTCCCGGGTTCAAGCAATTCTCCTGCCTCAGCCTCCCAAGTAGCTGGGATTACATGCATGTGCCACCACGCCTGGGTAATTTTTTTTTTTTTTTTTTTTTTTTTTTGAGACGGAGTTTCGCTCTTGTTACCCAGGCTGGAGTGCAATGGAGCGATCTCGGCTCACCGCAACCTCCGCCTCCCGGGTTCAGGCAATTCTCCTGCCCCAGCCTCCTGAGTCGCTGGGATTACAGGCACGCGCCACCATGTCCAGCTAATTTTTTGTATTTTTAGTAGAGACGGGGTTTCACCATGTTGACCAGGATGGTCTCGATCTCTTGACCTCGTGATCCACCCGCCTCGGCCTCCCAAAGTGCTGGGATTACAGGCTTGAGCCACCGCGCCCGGCCCTGGGTAATTTTTTTAGTAGAGACAGGGTTTTGCCATATTGGCCAGGCTGGTCTCAAACTCCGGACCTCGTGATCTACCTGCTTCATGATCCACCTGCCTCTTGATCCACCTGCCTTGGCCTCCCAAAGTGCTGGGATACAGGCACAAGCCACTAGCGAGGCCTCTTAAAAGAGTATTTGAGTTAACCATTTTCCTATTATGTTGCATTGTTTTGGAAAAACCCTTGGCATCAGAATATAAAATATATTTAACATAGCATATGCTTTTTAAAAAATATTAGTCTCTAAGGCAAGTACTTTTAACTTTTATCCTAAATAACTGTTTTTACATCTCTTGAACACTGGGAGGTCTTTGTTTCTGGATTCCCTGAATCGTTTGACCATGTCTTTAGAGAAGTGCTCAGTAAGTCAAGGGCCGAACTTGTCCAGGGAATGATGAGCAGAGCTTGCCTTTCCACCAACTCATGGCTTAGGTCTGAGAAGACTGTTGATTTCTGATCTTAGTTTTCTTCTTCAAGTGACGGTAGTACTGTCTTTAAGGAGAGGCTTGGATTTGATTAAAGTAGAATTTTAAGAACTTAGTCAAATTATAGTTGTTCCAGGAGGTGAGTTTCATTCCTGTAAAATTTTACTTTATAACCAAGATGCAGTGAAACCCTCTTAGGTCAACTCTGCCTAAAGAGGCACCTTGTTTGTTTATTTATTTACTTATGATGGAGTCTCACTCTGTCACCAGGCTGGAGTGCAGTGGCGTCATTTCGGCTCACTGCAGCCTCCAAGAGGCACCTTATTATTATTATTATTATTTGTTGTTGTTGTTAAATTGTTTCCTATATAAGCCATCTTTATGCTGCCTCCCTAAACCTCATCACTCTAAATCTGTCTTCAGAGGGACAGATTTTTTATTTTTTATTTTATTTATTTTTTTCAAGACAGACCAGTATTAGTTAAGTATGCATTTGACAAAATATGCTCCAAAATTTTCTTTTGTGATTTAGGCTAAGTAATGTTAAAGCAAACAATCCAGTCTCCAAAAGATGCACAAGGCGTTAAGATCAAGCCATCTTGGCGTAAATGGCACTGCTGTTTAAATGCGTCATCTCTGTACATGATCTTCGTTCTTTCCTGGGCCATGTTCTATTTAAAGGTAGTGTCAACAGGTCAAACACAAATACTGGGGAAGTCTTTTGACAGCAATGATAATGAAAAGTGCTTTTTAAGAAGTAATGCTACTGCTTTTCTGAAATATTGGTCTTCTGTTTTAGTGCGTAAATTCACAGAGAAACATGAATGGATAACAACCGAAAATGGTATTGGAACAGTGGGAATCAGCAATTTTGCACAGGTATTGGATTATATTGAAATATTTGTGACAGTGTGCTCTTGCATAATTTGCTTTATCTCTATCTTTTAAAAAGTGTTTAGGCTACGTGAGGTGGCTCATATCTGTAATCCCAACACTTTGGGAGGCTGAGGCAGGAGAATTACTTGAGGCCAGAAGTTCAAGACCAGCCTAGTCAACATAGTGAGACCCCATCTCTACCAAAAGTTAAAAAAAAAAAAATTAGCCCGGCCATGGTGGTTCATGCCTGGGGTCCCAGCCACTCAGGAGGCTAAGGCAGGAGAACTGATGGAGCCCAGGAGGTTGAGGCTGCAGTGAGTCATGTTTGTGTCACTGCAAAATACAAAAATTAGCTGGGCCTGGTGTTGCACACCTATAATCCCAGCTACTCAGAGGCTGAGACAGGAGAATCACTTGAACCTGTGAGGCAGAAGTTGCAGTGAGCTGAGATTGCACCACTGCACTCTAGCCTAGGTCATAGAGTGAGACTCCATCTCAAAAAAAGAAAAGAAAAAGAGAGAAAAACAATCAGAGGTGAATTAAGTAAAACATAACTTAGTTGGGGCATTATGTGGTATTTTAAGAGCTGTTGCAAGCTTAACACTGAAAGTAGGAAACATCTTATTGAAGAAGGAAATGTGTGTGTTTTATACTGGGCAGTTAGGAAAGATGAAAAAGGAAGAGCAAGCAGAAGGGCAGGGGTGTTACCAGCATTTTATGGGGCCAGTGATACACACGTGACCAGGAGGACGGGAAGAAGGAAAACCTCAATAGGTGCAGGATACACACAGGGAAGGCTTGCATGTAGCCCATCTTTTCTGTTTAAGAGAAAATGAGAAGCGAAATACCAGCGTGGTGAGTGATCTTCAACTGGGTGTATGTATTGGGTGAGCCGGGGAGGGGGGGAATGTTAACTGATGGAAATACAGTCGTGTGTCATTTAATGACGGATCTATGTTCTGAGGAATGCCTCCTAGGGGATTCTGTCCTTGTGTGAGCCTCCTAGAGTGCCCTTACACACACCTAGATGGCATAGCCCTTACACATATACCTCGGCTATATGGTAGAGGCTTTGCTCCTGGGCTACAAACCTGTGTAGCATGTTACTATACTGAATACTGTAGACAATTATAACACAATTGTCTATTAAAACATAGAAAAGGTATAGTACAAATATGGTACAGGTTGAGCATCTCCAATTCCTGAAATACTCCAAAAATCTGAAACTTTTTGAGCACCAGCATGAGTCTTAAAAAAAATGCTCATTGGAGCATTTTGGATTCCAGAATCTTGGATTAGGAGTGCTCATCTGTTAAGTGTAATGCAAGTATTCCAAAATCTGAAATCCAAAGCACTTCTGCCGAGCATTTTGGATAACTGACACTCACTATATTATCATTTCATGGGACCACTATCATGTATGTGGTCTGCTCTTGACCAAAATGCCATGAGGTGGCATATGACTGTACAAAATACCTCAGACATGTTAGATTCTTGTGTGTTGAGAATCAATGACAATTATATCTTCCTTGGCATCTCTCTGTACCTACTGTGAGGCCCAGTATTGAGTATTTTATGAGATATTGTGTAAGATGTCATCTTAACCTCCTAGAGTTTATTTGTCAGGGGAATCACCTGCCGGGGAAATCACTTGCAAATGTTACCCGATGGCATCAGAACGGTGGGGTTGTAATTCACTTACTTTATGGAGAGACCACTTCTTTCTGGAGCCAAGGTCTTTAGGGAGTACAAGGCATGAGGACTATGATTTGTAGACTCAGTGAGCAGGATTTTAGCAAATGCATTGGGGTTAATGGTGTACATAAAACTGCAGAGGTGGAAGAACACCAAGTATGTTCCTGCTCATAAGAGCTATCCGTGTTGGCCGGGTGTGGTAGCTCATGCCTGTAATCCCAGGCTGAGGCGAGTTGATCGTCTGAGCTCAGAAGTTCAAGGCCAGCCTGGCCAACATGGTGAAACCCTGTCTCTACCAAAAAATAAGAAACAATAGCCAGGCATGGTTGGGGGAGCACCTGTAATCCCAGCTACTTGGGAGGCTGAGGCAGGAGAATCACTTGAACCTGAGACGTGTAGGTTGCAGTGAGCCAAGATCACACCTCTGCACTCCAGCCTGGGCAACAGGAGCGAAACTCTGTCTCAAAAACAAAACAAAGAACTGGCAGTGTTGTCTGGGGCATGTGGCTTGTGTTGGGTTGCTACAGCTTATGAGCCAAATCTGGCTGGTGGCTGGTTTCTTGCAGCTCTTGAGTTGAGAATAGTTTTTAAATAATTTTATTTTATTGTTTATTTTTGGAGAACGGGTCTTTCTATATTGCCCAGGCAGGTCTTAAACTCCTGGGCTCAAGCTGTCCTCCCACCTCTACCTAAGAGCTGGTATTACAGGCATGAGTCACCATGCCCAGGCATTTATTTTTATTTTTGAAATGGAGTCTTGCTTTGTCGCCAAGGCTGGAGCACAGAGGCGCAATCTCAGCTAACTGCAACCTCTGCCTCCCAGGTTCAAGCAGTTATCCCGCCTCAGCCTCCTGCCTCTTCCTGGGATTACAAGTGCCTGCCACCATGCCTGGCTAATTTTTGTATTTTTAGTAGAGACCAAGTTTCACCATGTCAACCAGGCTGGTCTCGAATTTCTCACCTCAAGTGTTACCCTTACCTTGGGCCTCTCAAAGTGCTGGGATTACAGGCGTGAACTACTGTGCATGGCCAAGAGTAGTTTTTATATGTTTAAAGGGTCTTAAGGAAAACCCAAGAATGTAGCTCCTCAAGTATAAAATGTGTACTAAATCTTAAATTATAGGGGATCCCGTGTTTGGCTTGTTCTGTTTACTGGAAGGTTTAGTTTTAGTTTCTTAGAGATTTTTTTGGTTTTGCCTTGTTTTATTTAGGAAGCGTTGGGAGATGTTGTTTACTGTAGTCTGCCTGAAGTTGGGACAAAATTGAATAAACAAGGTGAGTGTTCTTAGGATCTTGGAATGATGCATGACATGAATTTTCTTTACCTGATCTTTACATTAAATAGTAACTTCTTTGTACCCTGGATTCATTAGAGTGCTTTTTAAAATTTATATATTTTTTGAGACAGTCTTGCTTTGTCACCTGGGCTGAAGTGCAGTGGCACCATCTTGGCTCACTGCAACCTCTGTCTCCCAGGTTGAAGCGATTCCTGTGCGTTCAGGCATGTGACACCACACCCAGCTAATTTTTGTATTTTTAGCAGAGACGGAGTTTCCCCACGTTGGCCAGGCTGGTCTAGAACTCCTGACCTCAAGTGATCCACCCGCCTCATGCTCCCAAAGTGCTGAGATTATAAGCATGAGCCACTACACCCAGCCAATTAGAGTGCTTTGGACCCAAGTATTAGGTTGGTGCAAAAGTAATTGCTACTTGGGAGGCTGAGGTAGGAGAATTGCTGGAACCCCGGAGGCAGAGGGAGGTTGCAGTGAGCTGAGATCCCATCACTGCACTCCAGCCTGGGTGATAGAGAGAGACTCCGTTTCAAAGGAAAGAAAAAGTCTATTAATATCAATATGTTAGATAATATCCTTAAACTAATGAATACCCTTTTAAGAGATTCTGCTAAAGGTAGTTTTTCAACTTGATGTAAAATCTACATACAGTGAAATGCATGGACCAGAAGTATACAATTCAATGAGTTTTAACAAATTTATACACCTGTGTAAGCCTTCCCCATCAAATGGGTGACCTCTTATTTCTACACCAAAGGTTAATTTGGCCTATTGTTTAATTTCATTTGAAAGGAATCACGCAGTGTGTGTTATGTTTGGCTGCTTTTGGGGTTTACCAACCTTCTTGAATCTGTAGATTGAATTTTTTTTTTCATTAAATTTGGAGACTTATTTTTTAGTCATGATTTCTTTCTCTTCCCACTTCATTCCTTTTTTCTTCTGTGATTTGACGTGTTTGTCAGATCACTTGATACTGTCCCATAGGTCCCTGAGGCTCTTAACTTTTCAGGCTTTTTAAAAACTGTTCTTTTTTTTTTCTTTTTTTTTTGAGACGGAGTTTCACTCATGTTACCCAGGCTGGAGTGCAATGGCGCGATCTCGGCTCACCGCAACCTCCGCCTCCTGGGTTCAGGCAATTCTCCTGCCTCAGCCTCCTGAGTAGCTGGGATTACAGGCACGCACCACCATGCCCAGCTAATTTTTTGTATTTTTAGTAGAGACGGGGTTTCACCATGTTGACCAGGATGGTCTCGATCTCTTGACCTCGTGATCCACCCGCCTCTGCCTCCCAAAGTGCTGGGATTACAGGCTTGAGCCACCGCGCCCAGCTTTTCTTTCACTTTTTGAGATGGTGTCTTGCTGTGTTGCCCAGGCTGGAGTGCAGTGGTGCGATCTCAGCTCACGGCAACCCCCACCTCCCAGGTTCAAACACATCTCTGTCTCTGCCTCCCAAGTAGCTGGGATTATAGGCACCCGCCACCACACACAGCTAATTCTTGTATTTTTAGTAGAGATGGACTTTTGCCATGTTGGCCAAGCTGGTCTCAAACTCCTGACCTCAAGTGATCCGCCTGCTTCAGCCTCCCAAAATGCTGGGGTTACAGGAATGAGCCACTACGCCCGGCTACACTAGATTGGTTGACTTCAGTTTATCTTGCTTCATGTTCACTGATCATTTCTTCGTCTCTAGTCTGCTGTTTATGCTCTCCATTGTATTTTTTACTTCAGATGTTATACTTTTGAGTTCTAGAATGTCCAGATTAGCTACGTTATATTTCTCTGCTAATGCTAACGTGTAGGTCATTTTGGGATCTGTTTGGTTAACTGCGTTTTCTCTTCACCATGGTTCCCTTCTTTGTAGGATTTCAATCCAGAATTTCCAGCCGCTCTGGCAGCCCCATACTCCATCCTTTGACCTCACAAGCAAATGAAACTGTAGTTTTCAGCTTGTGTTTTAGCTACCCTGTGCTCTTTAGGTGGGGCAGTGTTGTCAGGGAACAAATTATATAAATGAAGATCTCATTCAGTTTGGTTCCCTTCTTTCAAGGACTGACTTCCCTTTGATCACTCTACAAAGCCTTCATATATAGTTGAGCATCACAAATCCAAACATCTGAAATCCAGAATGTTCCAAAATCTGAAAATTTTTGAGCACCAACATGATACTCAAAGGAAATGCTCATTGGAGCATTTCAGATTCCAGATTTTCAAATATGGGATGCTCAAGTGGTAAGTATAATGCACATATTCAAAAATCGAAAGCACCTCTGGTCCCAGGGATTTTGGATAAGGAATACTCAATGTATAAATTGCTTTTTAGGTTTAGTTCATTGTTTTTTTGTTTTGTTTTTGAGACAGAGTCTCATTCTTTCACCTGAGCTGGAATGCAGTGGTGCAATCTCGGCTCACTGCAACCTTTGCCTCCCAGGTTGAAGCAATTCTCCTTCCCAAGTTTCCTAAGTAGCTGATACTATAAGCATGTGCCACCACACCGGGAAATTTTTTTTTAATTTTTTGGCAGAGACAGGGTTTCACCATGTTGGCCAGGCTGGTCTTGAACCCCTAACCTCAGGTGATCCACCCATCTTGGCCTCCCAAAGTGCTGGGATTTCGGGTGTGAGACACCATGCTTGGCCTGTAGTTCAGAATTTATAATTGTGTTTTTTTTGTTTTTGTTTGTTTTTGAGATGGAGTCTCATGCTGTCACCTAGGTTGGAGCACAATGGCATGGTCTTGGCTCACTGCAACCTCTGTCTCCTGGGTTCAAGCAATTCTCCAGGCTCAGTCTCCCAAGTAGCTGGGATTACAGGAACCCACCACCATGCCTGGCTAATATTTTTGTATTTTAGTAGAGACCATGTTGGCCAGGCCGGTCTTGAACTGCTGACCTCAGGTGATCTGTCTGCCTCAGTCCCCCAAAGTGCTGAGATTGTAGGCATGAGCCACCAGGTTTTTTATTTGCAGGAAGGTGGTCTGACATAAGGTACTTCACCATCACTGGAACATTCTGAACTTTTCATTTTGTTTTTTTCTGAGCCATATCTAAGTTGCAAGAACATTGAGTTTTACTCAACTGAGACACATCTGGCATTCAGGCACATCACCATTTGTTATTTGCTGTGTCTGGGACAGACAGATAGGTCGATTTTATTGAGGCAATAAATACCCTTGTCATAGGTTATTTTAGCCTGACAGAACTTATTGTTTTATTCTAAATAAAAGAAATTTGGAATTTTAAAATCATAGCTGTATGACAGGAATCTACTTTTTCATATTTTATGCTTTCAGGTCACTGACTTTTAACTTTTCATGTTTTGCTTATTTTATTTTTTTTCCATTTAGATGAATTTGGTGCTTTGGAAAGTGTGAAAGCTGCTAGTGAACTTTATTCTCCTTTATCAGGGGAAGTCACCGAAATTAATGAAGCTCTTGCGGAAAACCCAGGACTTGTAAACAAATCTTGTTATGAAGATGGTAAGCTGTTGCTAGAAATTTCTCAAGGAATTACTGCTAGAGTTAATATTTCATCTAGAATTTAAAGCATACTTAGTTGATTGTGACTTCATCTTTTTCTACTTGGTACTAAATAGAGATGTTCTGCTTTAAAATAAAATCAAAGGTTAGTTGAATACATAAGGTTATGTTTAAGATTTCTGGCCAGGCACAGTGGCTCCTGCCTGAATCCCAGAACTTTGGGAGGCCAAGGTGGGTTGTTTGCTTTAGTCCAGGAGTTTGAGACTAGCCTGGGCAACATGGTGAAACTCTGTCTCTACAGAAATACAAAAATTAGCTGGTCTAGGTGGAATGTGCCTGTAGTCCCTGTTACTAGGGAGGCTGAGGTGGGAGAATTGCCTGGGCCTGGGAGGTCAGGGCTACAGTAGTGTGCCAAGATCTCACCGTTCCACGTCAGCCCAAGTGACAGAGTGAGACTATCTCAAAAAAAAAAAAAAAAAAAAAAAAAAAAAAGATCTCTGATGATAAAAGCATTACCTTATTTTGCAGGGTTCTTAATATCAGTTGTAGATTCCTTGGTTTTGGTGTAAACACCTGCAAAGTATTTACTTTTTCAGACATAAAGCAGCCACTCATGCTGTATGATATAGGAGGTCAAAAATATATATATTTTGCATTAGTTCTTGGTTTTCTCGCATTTTCATCCTCATAATAAACTAATGAGGTAAGCTTATTTTCTCTATTTTGTAGTTGAATAGCAGCTCCAAAGGATTTCTGTGTCAGAGTCATCACATGGCTGATAAATGGCAAAGTTAAGATTAGGTTGTAGTTTTCTTTTGCCTGTCACCTAGACCTTCTAACTACCATTGCTTTCTAATCCTGTTAACCTCAGCAGTTAGTGTTCCATTTGTTAAAGATATACCTGGCCTTTATATCACATATTTAATAATTGGATCACATATTTAAGAATTATTTTTATTATTATTATTATTATTATTATTATTTTTTTTTTTTTTTGAGACGGAGTTTCGCTCTTGTTACCCAGGCTGGAGTGCAATGGCGCGATCTCGGCTCACCGCAACCTCCGCCTCCTGGGTTCAGGCAATTCTCCTGCCTCAGCCTCCTGAGTAGCTGGGATTACAGGCACACGCCACCATGCCCAGCTAATTTTTTGTATTTTTAGTAGAGACAGGGTTTCACCATGTTGACCAGGATGGTCTCGATCTCTTGACCTCGTGATCCACCCGCCTCTGCCTCCCAAAGTGCTGGGATTACAGGCTTGAGCCACCGCGCCTGGCCTATTATTATTTTTTGAGACAGATCCTTCATTTGTCACTGGGGCTGAAGTGCAGTGGTGCCATCTTGGCTCACTGCAACCTTTGCTTCCTGGGTTCAAGCAGTTCTCCTGCCTCAGCCTCCCAGTAGCTGAAATTGCAGGGACCGCCACTATGCCCAGCTAATTTTTCTGTTTTTAATAGAGATGGGGTTTCACCATGTTGGCCAAGCTGGTCTAGAGCTCCTGGCCTCAAGTGATTTGCCTGCCTTGGCTGACCAAAGTACTGAGATTATAGGCCTGAGCCGCCATGCTCAGCCCTTAAAGATTTAAATGTCATGTTCTGATCGTTATTACAACCTAAGAGTTCTTAATTTATTATGGTGGAATCTATTCTAGCTATAATTATTTTCATTTATGATATACAACTATATTAATTTAATTCTTAAGGCTAAAATTTAAAGTTTCATGAACAAATGATGTATGGTTTTTGTAAAAAATACTAGATTGAGGCACTCAGATTTCTTTTATATTTTGGATGAATTTGACTTTTTAAAACGTTAATGTGGAATATAAGGTTGTTTTTTGGTTGCAGGTTGGCTGATCAAGATGACTCTGAGTAACCCTTCAGAACTAGATGAACTTATGAGTGAAGAAGCGTATGAGAAATACATAAAATCAATTGAGGAGTGAAAATGGAACCGCTAAATAAACAACCAGTATGATTTAACGCAACCCAGCAGAGTTGTCTTAAATTAGTGGTGGGTAGAAGACTTAGAATAGCAACTTTTAGCATTACCGATGGGGAAAAAAACTACTGTTCACACTGCTAATGAAAGACAATGCCCTTTAACTTTCTAATGATTATATATAAACATAATACATGTCTTTTTCACAATATCCTATGGTTTTCAGACTAGGCTTTAGTATTTAGAATTCATGAAATTATCCATGTTAAAAACTAGTTATAAAAATTACATAATTCAGAGATAACGTTGTTATTCTTAAGCCTTATATGATATTGTAACTTGTGTACATCCATAAGTGGATTTGGGGTGAAATACTTAATGATCTGTCCACTGGAAATAACTGGGAGTGAAGGAGTTTTTGTTGCTTGTACAGTGTCAGATGAAGAACAACACTATCTTAATTTTGCAATACACTGCATTTGCTGGTGCTATTTTTATACAGTGAAGCAACAGCTTTGCAGCAAAATAATAAAATACTTCTTCATGAATCATGTTTTTTGTTTTGATGTTAATATTTCATTTAGTGACTGCTAGTATTTGTGAAAGTGCTAACTTTAACTTATGCAAAGATACTTTGAAAAAGGAAATTTAAGCCAGAACAATGAAAAGCTCCAAGAAAATATTTCCTTTAGTCACAAATCTGTTTTTTCTTAAGCCAAGATCTGTCATCTTTAACATAATAAAAAATAAATCACCAACTTTGATTTTCTATCATGCCAGGTACGAAGAAAGAAGAGGAAAAAAACAAAGGCAGGTGGAAGTTTTGATCACTATAGCACATGGTTTGCTTTTTTTTTTTTTTTTTTTTTTTTTTTTTTTTTTTGAGATGGAGTTTTGCTCTGTCACCAGGCTGGAGTGCAGTGACATGATCTCAGCTCACTGCAACCTCTGCCTCCTGAGTTCAAGCGATTCTCCTGCCTCAGCCTCCTGAGTAGCTGGGACTACAGGCACACACCACCACGCCCAGCTAATTTTTGTATTTTTAGTAGAGATGGGATTTCACCATGTTGGCCAGGATGGTCTCGATCTCTTGACTTTGTGATTCACCTGCCTCAACTTCCAAAAGTGCTGGAATTACAGGCATCAGCCACCATGCCCAGCCTAGCACATGGTATTTTTAAGAAGTTAAACCACACTCAGCTTTCCATTTAAGTCATGGGAATAAAAGTGGACACAGATTGAAGCTTTATGAGCTCAGATAATGGACTTTGATAGTGGGTATTCTTTGCAGCTTAAGCATGTTTAGAATGCCAGAAGGTATTTCCAAGTAGCTAATATATAGCATACTCTAACCAACTGTAATAAGCTGATAATATTGGGGTGGGGGGGTTGTATGCTCATGCAAATATATATGTACACACAGAGCAAGAGTAGATAAACTCTTCTATCATTTTCTCGGTTACTAGAGGAAAAGAGAAGTATCCGTATGGTACCACTTTCTGGTGGTCAATAATTAGCAAGTATAAGCACTTAGTGAAAGTAAGTAGATAAGTAGCATACAGATCATCATGCTCCTCAGCTGAAGAAACTGTTCATTCCAAGACTGCCAGTAGCTGTGTCACAGCTGAACTATATCTTTGTACCTTTATCAAGAAAGTATTTACCAGGCCTGGTGGCTCACGCCTATAATTCTAACACTTTGGGAGGCCACGGCGAGTGGATCTCTTGAGCCCAGGAGTTCGATACCAGCCTGGGCAACATGCTGAAACCCTGTCTCTACAAAAATACAAAAATTAGCCTGGCATGGTGGTGTGTGCCTGTCGTCCCAGCTATTTGGGAGGCAGGTAGGATGACTGAGTCTGGGAGGTCAAGGCTGCAGTGAGCCACGATCACATCACTGTACTCCAGCTTGGGCGACAAAGCAAGAGTGTGTCTCAAAAAAAGAAAAAAAGGATCCAACGTATGCTGGATTATTCTTCCTATTTATATGGTGTAATTTTCAGTTGATCTGTTTTAGAAATAGATGGAGATGAGTAGTAACTACACAGACTTACGCCTTTGTTTTCAAAGTTCTCTCATACATTACTATCTTTAATCTTCACAACAACCAGCGCTACATAGACACATCCATTAATACCATCATTTCACAGGTATGAAAGGTGATAGGGTAAGAAATGTGTTAAATAGCTGGGCGCAGTGGCTCAGGCCTGTAATCCCAGTACTTTGGGAGGCTGAGGCGGGTGGATCACCTGAGTTCGTGAGTTCAAGACCAGCCTGAGCAACATGGTGAAACCCCATCTCTACTAAAAATATAAAATTAGCCGGGCATGGTCACACATGCCTGTAATACCAGCTACTCAGGAGGTTGAGGCAGTAGAATCGCGTGAACATGGGAGGCAGAGGCTGTGATGAGCTGAGATTGTGCCACTGCACTCCAGCCTGGGCAGTAAGAGCAAAACTGCATCTCAAAAAAAATAAGAAATAGGTTAGCTGGGTGGTCGTGGTAATGATTTTCACATTTCCTGGTCTACTCATCAGTTCCTTATCAAGTTTTACTATGAAAATACTTAAATGAGCCGGGTGCAGTGGCTCGGCCCTGGAATCCCAGCATTTTGGGAGGCTAAGGCAAGTGGATCGCCTGAGGTCAGGAGTTCAAGACCTATCTGGCCAACATAGTGAAACCTCGTCTGGAAAAAAAAGAAGAAAAAAAAAACTTAATGGGAATCTTGTGGGGGAAGGGAACGATGAATGTTCTAAATAAAGGTGGGAATCAAAAGTAGCCATTCTAGAATATGAAGATCCATGAGTGGTTATAGTGTCTGATGAAGGCGGGCAGTTTATTTTTTCCCTTTTCCTCCCAAACACACGCATACTTGCTCTGTAACAACCACTCTTTTCAAAGAGCAGAACATATGGCAACTTGCTCTTCCACTATTTAAAACACAGAGCCAAATCCGCTGTCCTTTCCGTCACAATGCTTTGAATGGCCCTCCAAATTGACTGAATCCAGGGAATTTAATTTTCATGACCTCATATTCCTTTTGAATGGTTTTGGCATTAATAGGGTGGATTAATAAAAGTTTTGAGGAAAGCTTTCTAATAATTAAAACTTCAGAAGCTGAATAGGTTACCCTGCAAGTGTTAATTCCTCTTTCCGCTACCACCTCCCAGGTGGTTTAGTTCTTAGCTTCAGGTTTTGGTTTTTCTGGTTTTTTTTTGTTTTTGAGATGGAGTCTCGCTCTGTTGCCCAGGCTAGAGCGCAATGACACGATATTGGCTCATTGCAATCTCCGCCTCCCGGGTTCAAGCAATTCTGCCTCAGCCTCCTGAGTAGCTGGGATTATAGGCACCTGCCACCACGACGACACCCAGCGAATTTCTATGCTTTTAGTAGAGATGGGTTTTCGCCATGTTGGCCAGGCTGGTCTCCAACTCTGGACCTCAGGCGATCCACCCGCCTCGGCCTTCCCAAGCGCTGGGATTACAGGCGTGAGCCCTTGGGGCCGGCCTCCACCTTGCTTTATTTGTATAAAAGATGCCAGTGCCCACTTCGGAGCTGTGGTGCTCCGGGCCAGAAGTTGAGCGAGTGCCCGTAGGCCCGGTGCTGTCGGTCAGGTAAGTGGGCGCTGCGAGGTTCACAACGCCTCCTCTCGTAACGTTCTGGGCCTGTGAAGTTTGTGCCCGTGGGAAACTTGCACGGCGGTTCTCGGGAGGCTGGGGGACAAAAGCAGAGACGTTTCTGGTTGCCTGGCATCTGCTAAACATCCTAGGAGGCAAAGGGGCGCTCCTACGGAACGCGCCGGCCCTGCAGTGGCGCGGGTGGTCCTGCGCGTGAAGCCAGCTCCCGTTCCAGTTTGGTCCTCCAGCCCCACCGTCTAAGACCCTCCGTCGCCGGTATTCCGGCTGCAGAGCGCGGAGCCCCGCCCACACTCAGCTTTGTGAAGTACGTCACTTCCGCTGCGTTCCCCCGCGGGTCCGCCCCCAGCGCGGCCGTAACCCAGGGCAACGGCCCGACAGCAGCCGCTTGCATAGCGTTTGCTCGCCGGCCCGGCCTAGCGGCCGCGGGACCTTCCATCCGGTCGTCCCCACAGGTGGGTGTGAGCGGCCGTCTCTCCGCCGCTGGGGCAAGGCCCCGGACCACTCCAAAGGGTAGAGCTACAGGCTCTGCCCCCGTTCGAAAGGAAGCGACTCTCTGACTGAGGGGAACGAAAGGCAGAGGCAGTAAAGGCCGGCGTTGCACCTGAGCCGACGGGGTCACAGGAGGAGCCGGGGTGGGCGGGGTCTGGGGAGGAGCAGTGGGCGGAGCCTTCCAGGCCGTCGGGTTGCTGGGCAGGGCCTGGGGAGCCGTTGGGGGCGGAACCCCTCAAGGGCGGGGTAGATGGAGGACTTAGGAATTTGTAGGGGCAATCGGGGACGCGTTTCTGAATGAGATAGCTTGAAAGAAGGGCACGCGACTTTGTGGTACGGTTAGAACTGGCGGAGGAAGGGGAAGAGCTAGATGAGGAAAAAAAGGCTCATGGAAGAAGGGGTGGAGCCTCTTTGGGAAAGGGTTGGGGCCTGCGAGAAGGGGCGGAGCTAGAGAAAGGGGTGGAACCGAGTGTGGTGCGCCCTGGGCTTTAGGGGCGGCAGGTGGAGCGCGTGTGTTTGATGACTTACTTGTGCTTTGCTGTGGACGGTAAACTGTGTGAAAGCAGAGAAGACGGGTTGAAAAAAGGGAGGAGTTTGAGACTGGGATTTGAGTAGATGTGATTTGATCCGGAGGGATGGTGTAGAAACCGCGCTCCTTGGCATCATTCTGCGACGTACTTGTGGTTCCTGTGACCTGTAGGCATATAATAAGAAGAAGGGATACATAATTAACAGGGAGGGTAAGATTTATGCTCTTAGAAATATGAACAAATTGTGCAAGTTGGGTGGCATAGGTGTTTAACTTTGAGGCAAAGGTTCAACTCCTTGTCGAGTGTGTTTCTAAATGCGACTCCCAACGCATTTTCCTGTAGAAACTATATTACCAATGGTCAGGATGCTCAGGCCAGTCTTCAAGACCTGTTTAACTGGTTCATATAAAGTGAAGATTAGCCCTGTGTTAAAAAAACTTCACTTTCACCATGGCTAACAGTATTTCTAATGATTATCCCGTCATTCAGCATAGGTTGTTAAGCACCTGATCCACAGGAACATTTGTTCAAACTTCAAATGAGACTTGCAGAAACTCATCTTTTCCTGTTTGGAATTTAAGATTCCTGTAAACCTATAGCTTCTAAGAAGATGAGGGTGTGTGGCACAGTGCAGAACCAATGAGAAGCTCGGGTAAGGTGATACGGAGTTTTGAGAGCTTACCATCTATCTGCTTTTGACATCAACAGCCTGCTTTTGACATCAACAGCCTGCTTTTGATTTAATACCCTGGGCCTTGTTTTCTCCTGGTCCATCAGCATTACCCCACCATGAATGGATTAAGAATCTGCCAACCAGGTATAGCAATCTGTGGTAGGATATTTGTAATCTGACTATACAGACAGACTGGCAAACATGTGGCACTCTTTATTTTCT